ACTCCCTGACGACGCTTCCTAATTTGCAACAGGTTCTTGAGTGCTTCTCCTTGATTTCGGGTCTCCATATTAACTTGGATAAGACTGTCGCTCTCAATATTACTTTGGCTTCAGATTTGGTTTTTTGCGCCTACAATCCCACTTCCCTTACAAATGGGCTTCCTCTTTTCTTGAATACTTAGGCATTCGCTTGACCCCCATCTATGACTCCTTGTTTGCTGCAAATTATTATCCATTGCTTAGCTCTCTATCTTCTCTTATGCATTCTTGGCAATTTCCGCACCTGTCTTGGATAGGATGGGTTAATTCGGTAAAAATGACCATCTTGCCAAAATTGTTATATTATTTTCGCACACTCCCAGTGCGGGTTCCCCCTCATTTTCTTCGTTTGCTTCAGGCGAAGTTTATGCATTTTATCTGGGCCGATAAGCACCCCAGAGTATTCAGAAATACTGTACGCTCTTTGCTCATAGACTCCAGAGTGGTCTTGGGGTGCCTTATGTAACTATTGTCAGGTGAGCCAGATTGCCCCGCTGTCTATGTTGCATGCCTCTTCTGCCGTTCCCCTCTGGGTCCTGTTGGAACTACTAATTGTGCCCCTAACGCAACTTCAATGCTTCTATGGCTTTCCCCTGCCCTGCGCCCTATGGCACTGAGTCCGATGTTGCTCCATGGCTTACAAGTCTGGGACTCGGTACATTACTCCAGTGGCCTGATGTCACCTTTTCTGCCTTTGCTCCCAATTATTAACAACCCTCTGTCTTTTCCCACCGGGTTTAGATCACCCAAGGGCGTTTTCTTGGTGGGTGACTAAAGGTTTTTTGCAGGTTGGACACTTTTTGATTTTTCGGTCCTTCCCCACCTGGAATTCTCTTCGGGAATCCGGGATGTCCCACGGTGGAATTCTTTCGATACTTTCAATTGAGGCACTGGCTGCTCTCGCTGCAGGGCACTTCTGCTTTCCCGTACCAGAAATCTGCCTTTGAACAGCTTTGCAGCAGCATCCGGGGTGCCCCGGGCCTTATATCCCTTCTTTATGCAGCTCTGAACAGACGCTCATCGCCGCATTACTTTCTCTTTCATATGTTGTTCAGTGGGAGCGCGACCTAGGAGTGGCTGTGGATCCGGAGGACTGGAATAAGGCCTGGTCACTCATAGCTAAATGCTCATTTAATACAACCACGCTGAAGGCAGCCTATAAGGTATTGTTTCGTTGGTATTGGGTTCACGACTCGGTTGGCCCAGGCTAACCCTGCCTGTGGTGATCAATGTTTTTCAGGGGTTGTGGCCATCGTGGAGATGTATTGCATATCTGGTGCATATTTTTTTGGTCTCGTGTGTTTGGCCTCCTTTTCACCTTGTTCCATCTCTCCATACGCCGCGATGCTCGGTATGCCTTGCTTCATTGCCCCATACCGGGCCTCTTGGCTCATCAGCAGAAGTTGGCTTCTATTTTTTATCGGCCACTAGAAACAATTGCTCAGGCCTGGAAGAGTCCGTTTGTCACTCTTCAGGGGGTGCGGAATCGTATGACCACTATGATGCTCAACGAACAGATGTCGAGTATCTGCAACGACTCCCAATGTAAATTTTTGAAAGTATGGAGCCCGTGGTTGCAATATGCCTTTCACCACGCTCCCCCCGGCTAGTCTGGGGATGTAATGGCGTTCAGTATTGGCGCTCTTGGACCCCTGCTCTTTGTTTTTTTTTCTTCTTTTCTCTCTTTCTCTGTTTTTGGTGTGACAGTGGACAGCTACCTTTAGTTGTTATAGTCAGTTACATTAATGTTTTGTAACTTATGTGCCATTGATAGCCCCTGCGAGGGCGTACCTTTTGCCCTGTTGACATTAGAGCACTGTTTTTTTTTTATTTTGCATTTTTTATCTATGCAATTGATAGCCCTTGTGTGGGCGTGTTTTGTTGCCTGTTTTATACTGTTTAAAAATTAATAAAAACCATTGAAATACAAAACACCAAGGACTATATTAATGAGTCTTTACATCTTCTTTCAGATCGTAACAGCTACAAAAAATTGAAAGATAATTGAAAGAAGATCCATTACCTGTGTTTCAAAGAGCCTTATGTGTGTTAGTAGAGACAGCTTTCAGGGATGGATTAATAGACAAGAAATAAAAATCATTTTTATTTCCCTCTGCCTGCAGTACCCCTACTTTTACCATCTCCCAAAGGTTCATAAATCCATCACATATCAACGGGGTGACCAGTTGTGGCTAGCACGAATAGTTTTACCAATGGTTTATCAAAATACATAGATTGTTTTCCTCCAACCCATGGTTTGCCAACTACCCTCGTACATAAGGGTCACATTATCAATATCTTGAAACATTACACTTGGGAGGAGGGTTACAATTGGGCATCTTTAGACGTTCCTCCCTTTATACGTCCATCCCCATCAAGTCGGCCTAGTGGCCCTACAACATTATTTGTCCTCTGACTCCAGAATGAACTCCAATCAGGCACTTTTCATAGTGGACAGCACTGAGTTCTGCATCAATAATAATTATTTCACCTTTCTTGACCAGTTTTACCTACAGACTAACAGTACAGCCATGGGAGCCAAACTTTGCTCCAGGATACGGCAACTTGACGATGGAACTATGGGAAGGCCGATTCATATGGTCTAATGATCCCTTTGCCAAGTACATGATTTTTTATGGAAGATACATCGGTGATATCCTCCTCATTTGAGATAGTAGTTTAGATCTTTTTTATAATTTGTAGAGCATTGCAATTCAAATTCAGTTTCTTTTACTCACATTTTTATTTCACATAATATTGTCTTTTTAGACCTCGTTCTATTAGCAGAGGAGGGAGCTATTAGTACCACTAACCATAGTAAAGCCAACGGGGGGAAATTCCTACCTCCACTATTCGAGTTGCCATCACCCCGCCTGGAAGAACAATATCCCCAGCAGCCAATTTAATAGATTTAGGAGAAATTGCTCCAAGCTTGAGGAATACAATAGACAAGGAGAGATTTTGTCTGCCAAATTCCTGGAGAAGGGTTATCCCCTTCTTTAATAAATCAGGCCTTTTTGAAACATGGTAGTCCCACTAGTGTTAATAACATAAAATGCAGGTCCAAGCAACAGCGTATTGCAGCCAGATTTTGTCACGGGTTACAATGTGGCTCATTGGAGTTTTTCTGAAATCATCCGCAACATTGGAATATTCTCTCAAACTTAACCCTAAATTACCTCCGGCTCTCCCCCCCAGCCCCCCAAGTCACCTTCTAAAGGGCTCGTACATTAAAAAAATATTTTGACCCCGAGTAAGCTAACCCCTACAACAAAAAGGGAAATAAATATTCATTCATATTTTGATGACAGAACTGACATTTTTAAGTGCAAAAAAAAGAGGTTGCCTCGCTTGCCAATCTATCACGCATGGCCGTTCTAATGTCACTGTCAGGAATGGACTTGCCAATAGTGGTGGGACTCACCTGCCTTGTGGGCTGCAGTATCAGGGCTGGCCAGCGGGTGCTCTCAACAACCAGAGGCTCACTTCGGCAATTAGCTATCACCTGGGGCTGATTGCAGGTGGTGTATTTAAGGGATGGCCAGACCTGCAGTCTGTGCCTTGTTGTACTAACTGTTTGCTTGGCTTTGGTTTCCTGATCCTGTTTCTGCTGTCCTGACGCTGCCTGAACTCTGCCTGTACTGACCTCGGCTAGTCCTGACCACTCTCCCGCCTGCTCCTGGTACTCCGTTTGCCCGTTTGCTACCGACCCGGCCTGCCTGACTACTCTTGTATCGTATGTTTGTTATCTGTTGGAGGTTTGGTTCAGTTTGTTTGCACTGTGTTATGTTTAGTTTTGCACTGCGTTTGTATTGTTATTCTTAATAAATTATATTATTTACTATATCTGAAGCCTACGTTTCCCTGTGTCAGTCCACACACCTCTGGTCACACCCGCATCCCTGACATTACAACAAGGCCATCCTGACCAGAAGTGGCTGCACAGGGAAGCCATCTTGGCTTGTTGCTGGGAGGATGGATCTCGATGAGGTTGTGTATTTGTCGCTGCTGGTTTTTGATGACAGAGAATATGCTTATCAGACTCTGAAGGAGTATCCCCGGGATCTACTGCTAGAATGTATACGGGTCGCTCATGTTCTAGTAGATCAGGGCACAGAGTTCTCTTAGGTGCAACCTTTGTTTCAGGTTTGTGCAGAGTTGGCTTCATCTGGTACCCCTGAAAGCAGGAATGACTTTTTGCCACCATTTAGTGCAGACCAGGTAGAGTCCCTGGTATGGTTATTAGAGGATAATGTGGATTGCTTCTTGGAGCATTATGCTGCATGTTCACAACGCTATTAAGGGATTGTATAAACGCAGTGCAGCCTTTGACCAGACAGGCTTTGTGTAAGCTGAGCTTTGTTCAACCCATACTGCAGACATGGTCAGACTTGTTGCACCCAGCCTCAGTCAGCTTACAACGTCATTCCTCCGCTCAAGGCACTCTTCCTGCATCCCCGACAGCACCCCCAGTGACGGCCCAGTATACTCTGCTAACTACCACATATCAGTCCTCTGCTCCCACTCGCTGCACCTATCCTTTCTTTAACCCAGTAAAGAAGTCCTCTGTAGCAACTGCTCCCTCCTCTGTTCTGTCGTCCTCCAGCTCTTCTCTGTCTTCAACTGCAACCGTTTACAAACCTTACTTACAGTGCTCCGGTAACTAACACCAGGAAAAGGCAAAAATTCTTTCCAACCAATACCATCCTGCCAGTATCCCAACCGGTCAGCCTGCCATCTGAGAACCCGTCTTCCGTGGTGCAGCCTGGTGCCTCGGCACCCACAATTCAGCCTGATGTCTCTACCAGCCTGATGTCTCTACCCAGCCTGATGTCTCTACCCAGCATGATGTCTCTATTCAGCCTGATGTCTCTACCCAGCCTTATGTCTCTACCCAGCCTGATGTCCTTACCCAGCCTGATGTCCTTACCCAGCCTGATGTCTCTACCCAGCCTGATGAACTGATCCAACCTGATGATCCTATTATGCCAGATGACTCGATGCCCGCTGTCTTGCCAGATGACTCAGAGCCCGCTGTCTTGCCAGATGACTCGGTGCCCGCGGTCTTGCCAGACGACTCGGTGCCCGCAGTCTTGCCAGATGACTCGATGCCCGCAGTCTTGCCAGACGACTCGATGCCCGCTGTTCCTCCAGTTGACTCGGTGCCCCGCGGTCTTGCCAGATGACTCGGTGCCCGCAGTCTTGCCAGACGATCCAATGCCTGATGACCCAGTGCCCGCTGTCATGCCTGGTGACCCGATGCCCGCTGTCGTGCCTGATGACTCAGAGCCAGCTGTCATGCCTGGTGACTCGGTGCCCACTGCCTTGCCAGATGACTCGGTGCCCGCTGTCGAGCCAGATGACCTGATGCCTGGTGACCCGATGCCCGCTGTCGTGCCTGGTGACCCGATGCCCGCTGTTGAGCCAGATGACCTGGGGCCCGCGGTCGAGCAAGACGATCCAATGTCTGATGACCCGGTGCCTGCTGTTGTACCTGGTGACCCGATGCCCCACTGTCGAGCCAGATGGCCCGCCAGTGGTGGGACTCACCTGCCTTGTGGGCTGCAGTACCAGGGCTGGCCAATGGGTGTTCTCAACAACCAGAGGCTCACTTCGGCAATTAGCCATCACCTGGGGCTGATTGCAGGTGGTGTATTTAGGGATGGCCAGACCTGCAGTCTGTGCCTTGTTGTACTGTTTGCTTGGCCCTGGTTTCCTGATCCTGTTTCTGCTGTCCTGACGCTGCCTGAACTCTGCCTGTACTGACCTTGGCTAGTCCTGACCACTCTCCCGCCTGCTCCTGGTACTCTGTTTGCCCGTTTGCTACCGACCCCGGCCTGCCTGACTACTCTTGTATCGTATGTTTGTTATCTGTTGGAGGTTTGGTTCAGTTTGTTTGCACTGTGTTATGTTTAGTTTTTGCACTGCGTTTGTATTGTTAGTCTTAATAAATTATATTATTTACTATATCTGAAGCCTACGTTTCCCTGTGTCAGTCCACACACTTCTGGTCACACCCGCATCCCTGACAGTCACAGATTACAGAGGCAATGTTTTTCAGATTAGACAATTTATAACTTTGCCTCTGATCATCTCATTTACGTGCTGTCATGTCCCTGCAAGCTACTATATATGGGTCACACTATATGCCTTTTCCACAAACGTGTAGGTGAACACCGCAGGGTGATTAAGGACTGCTGTGACAAACAGAGTTCTTCTCCATATCCAACATACTCACAATAAGGACTTTGGTTGCCTAGAGGTCATAGTGATCGAACATGTAGAGAAAAGATCTTTACCAGATAACAAGAGATTTTCTCTGCTTTGCAAAAGGGAGACTTTTTGGATTTTTAAATTGGGCTTCATGGCCCCGAATGGTTTGAATGAAGATCTAGAGATCCACAGCATTGTTTAATTATTATTTTCATCAAGCTGCTCACCCCTTAAATTTTTACACATTCAGCCCCCCTGAGTGATTACTTTGTAGAACCCCCTTTCACTGCAATTACAGCTGCAAATCTTTTTGGGGATGTCTCAACCAACTTTGCACATCTAAAGAGGGACAGGTTTGCCCATTACCTCCACCCCGTCTCAAGTCTTTTGCAGACTCTAACAGATTTTTTTTTCTGTGATTACCCTGTATTTGGCTCCATCCATCTTCCCAACTCTGAACAGCTTCCCTGTCCTTGCTAAAGAAACGCATCCCCATAACATGATGCTACAACCACCATATTTCACGGTGGGGAGGGTGTGTTCAGGGTGATGTGCAGTGTTAGTTTTTTCGCCACACATAACACTTTGCCAAAAAGTTCAATTTTGGTCTCATCTGACAAACATGTACCTTCTTCCACGTTTACTGTGTCCCCCACATGGTTTCTCGCAAACTGCAAATGGGACTTCTTATGGCTCTTTCAACAATGGCTTTCTTCTTGCCATTCTTCAATAAAGGCCAGATTTCTGGAATGCACGACTAATCAGTTCTCATTTTCGTGCGCCACTTTTTTACCTTTTTTATCTTGTTTCAAATTTCCATTATTGCTCAAGGTTATATAGATATTTAATAATTGACATTATGCCTAGGAGCTTTTTGGCTTTTATGTAATCATTCATCTTCTTGCTTTTTTATTTTTTATCATGTTTTATAATTATGTATTTTTCAATTTAGCATAATATGATATATTTAATAGTTTTTATTATTCGTTAACATGTGGATATTTGTTGCTTATAGGATTCCTTTTGATTAAGGTGCACCAACTTTCCTTTTAAAGTGATTGGATGAGACAAAGTAGTAAGTGCCCCCATTAGAATTGTTTAGCCATACAATACAGTATATAAATGTTGTTTTTACATTTGTAAATCATCTTTTCTAATAAGTTTCCCCTAGAAATATCAGCAAATTATGTGTATTTATGTTTTTTATCTCTATTTTTGCCTTTTAACAATGGTCTTATATGTTGTATTTCAAACTGTATGCCTTGCAGGGTGAACCGCCCGATCCATTTCCTGTTTTCCTTTGTTGTTCCCTCCCAGCCTCCATGCTTGTAAACTCCCTCTAAAGATGGCTGGTAACCAGACGTTCCTAGACTTGATAAAGCGCATGCGTGCGAAACGTGTTGTCTAGGTTACCGGCTCAGCTTGCATTCCAAGGCCAGGATCCTCCTTCCGCCCCCCTTCGAGGTTGTGGTGATGTAATTTCCGGAACGCCGCGATTCCATTCACTAATGGAGTTCTCTCCAGCTTTGTGTTGCCTGAGTAGCAGACGGTTCTCCTACCTTGTCCTTGCCACCACACTCTTGGATGTATTTACCACCAAACATTACTTCTATTAAAGGTATACATCCTTGGAATGTAAATTATATTATTTACTACACTTTCACAGTGCTCTTTTTTTCCTGGATCTACTTTTTAATGGTTGGTGTCTTATTGGAACGAAAATGAGTCTCCTGTAAAATGAAAATGTTATTTTTTCTTTTAAGGAAGTGGAATAAGACCTGGTTTCTCTTCTCGGGGATATTGAATCCCTGGCAGCTGAAGGAGGACAAGGAGAGAAATATGTTATCCTCCATTTATCAAAAGGAGTTGAAGACTAAACCTGGGTCCAGGGAACCCACTGATGCAAGCCAGAAGAAAATAAGACAGAGAAAAGGAGAGAAAAGGAAAGTAAGTTAAGAATGGAAAATAAAATTGGGAAGATGCAATCTTGTGGCAAATATACTGAATAGGGGGAGTCCCTGTCCAGCAGAAAATACAACCGGGGAAGGGAAACCACAACATTACAGCAACCAGAAGACAGTGTATTGCTATTAGCACTAAAAAGCCTAGTTGGAGTTCAAGGAAGGCACATGAAGGGGCTCCCAGCTTAGGCTACATAAAATAAATAAATAAATAAAAGACTTTTCAATATATAGTCAATTATGCCATTGTTCAAACATGGTCATGTCTATATATGGACAATGATGTCACCAGAGAGACCCCACCCCTTTAAATACTTTATGATTATGACTAAGCACTATGTTGTGTGAGACGCGTTAACATACTTTTGTCCTGTGCCGCATGATCTGTCAACTTTTGCAATACAGAAACATAGTGCTGTATCCTGCTGTGGTGTGCAGCCATTTCTTCTCATTTTCCTGGTTTATTACTGTGGCGAGCCAGGCAAGATGGGAGCTGTGATTGGATTTGTCTAATTCTCACCTGGAGTGGTGTTGTTCTATTCCGGGGGCGGACTGACCATTTGAGCACTTGGGCACTGCCCGAGGGCCCGGGGTCAGTAGGGGGCCCCATGAGATGCCCCTGGTACCTTTTTAATAGGCTTTTTTGAGTTTGGGCAAGGACATAGGGGCCCCATGATCCCCTATTGCCCGGGGGCCCCATAAGTTGTCAGTCCAATATCAGTATTGCGAACACTCCCAAGTTTAAATAACTACAATAGAGAAAAGAAAAGATAAAAAACTTTCACCCATGAAAGTGATATAATAAACAAATGACTCTTTTTCTTTATCCCTAAATTATCCCTTTTCAAATAGAATTTGCATAAATAAAGTAAAATATAAACTTACAACACAACCGTGCAATAACAATCAAAACTAGAAAATCTACAATTTCGGGGGAAATTGTGTGAAGTTTTTTGCATCCAAATCTAACCAAGTGATTGATGAAATGTAAGCAGTGCACATGGCAAGCCTGATAGAGTGAGAACTGCATTTCAACTTGGTGACTCAGCTGCCTGTGAGTCATGTTAGGTTGCTATAGCAACTCACTCAGTCAGGAAGCTGACAGGCTTTTCTAAACACACTGCTCCAACTTGCCAACTTCACTGGCAATTGGCATATTCAAACACTTGTAGTTTTAAAAGAGTGAATGCTACTGTGAAGAGCTTGATATTGCAAGAATCACAAGAACCAGACTACTACATTTTGATGTATAGTATGTCTCTGAAATATTAAAAATGAAGGCACAGTCGCAGTTTATAAATGTCCCTTAAAATTTCAGGTGGCTGTGAGTGAAGTTTCAATGAAAGTCAATGGGAGGGGTGAGTTGCAAACAAATGGTCATATTGTGAAAACTATCAGGAGTATGGCTTAGCCGTGGACATTTTTAGTGACAGCAGGGTTAGCTGAACGTTTTGATATAAGATATGTGTAGGTGGGCTTGAAAATGACAGAGTGATGGCAGTTTACAAATCATGTTCTGATTTTTCCTTCCACACTGTAGCTTTGTCAGTTCCCACTCTAGTTGCTCCATTCATTCCTATGGGAAAATTTCACCACAAAAACCGCCATATTTCGTGAACGATTCGGCGAAACGTTCCACAAAGTAATAGCAATCCGATCGGGAACAATCCGCACGTTTTATATATTACTTGTCTTTGTAGTGTAAAAACTGTGGGAGGAGTTAGCGTGGCAAATTTGGCTATAATAAGAAACGGAATAAGAATATATTTGTGAGAAAACAATAAGTGTTCTTGCAAGAACACTTAATAAATAAAAAATACAATGTGTAAAGTAAAAAATAGTGTCCCAAAATGTCTCTCAAACAATTCGGATCACTTTCTCTCCACCTTCACAACTTATTCTTGTGATACTGCATACGAAATTCCAAATATGATAATCCAATATAGAAAACCTCAAAAAAAAATATAAACCGCAAATAGTGTATTACCTTAATTACATACAATTGTGCACTATGTGTCATGCACACTCCCTAACAGGTGTTCAAACCGTGAGAAGAAAAAAAAAAGGGAAATATATACTAAATGTGCACAAATAAAATTACTCAAAATAAGTGTAATGTGTATCTTATTACTTGTGAGAGTGAACTCAAAACACTGCAACCACTACTATTATGCAACCAAACAAATGTGAATCCAAAAAATTTGTGTCAAAAAGTGATCACTCCAACTTAGTGCAACAAATGAACAATTACCCTATAGAGGTAAAAATCCGCTTTTCAAAGTGGTGGATGATAGCACCTCCAAATTTCTTACACTTCCTTTGGGCATACATCCATGTCCTTTGGGCAATTAGGGCT